AAAAAAACAATACAGAGCACACAACACTTCATCTTCAAGGGGAAAAAGAAATGAGCTTCCTTTCTGATCTTTGATGACTTCTGTCGATCGCTGGCTCTTAGCAGAAACGTACCCCACCCGCACCCCCAGAACAGACTGCCCTGTGGACTACAGACATCCTGAAACAGACAGCCACTCGCCTTCCCCTCCTCTGGCTGCACTACACCGAGGCACACTCTCAGCTCGGATAGTCCCCTCAATTTCCAAAACAAACCTCTACAGAACAAGCCCTTGAAACACCAAGTAATTAGTGGTAATTATAAGCTGATTCTTAACAGGCACTTAAATGTTCCAAAGAAAACAGGAAATTAAAAATCTAACACTGCATTTTAAAAATTGGCTTGTAGTTAGAGGCATGCAAAAGACCAAAGAAACGAGGGAAGCGCCTCGCAGGTAGAGTGCCCGTCAGGGTCTCCCCACAGCAGCAGTCCAATCAGCCTGGTGCCTTTGTAACGCCTTCGACTCAGTAACTTACTCTCATGAGAGCCGGATTCTACATGGGCACCCAGTAAAAATGCATAAAAAGAAGACAAGACGCCTTTAGGGAAAACATCCTCACTGGGAATCAGAAGAGGTGGCCTGAGGTTCCCTGCACCCTGCTCAGAGAGCCACGGGGCAAAAGAAGCCAACGGGAAACCCACTGAAGGTCCGGGGATGATATTTTGAGCTACAGCCAAGAAGAGAATGTGCAAAGGTCAGTGCTGATGCACGTGGGCCCTTCCATGGCAAGCCTGCCACCAAAGCGTGGAGATGGACGGCGGCGACTGGCAGCCCATCGGAGGGCAGGCGGCTGGGGGAAAGCAGATGCAGTGTCTAGGGAGGACCAGGAGCGAGCGAGCGGGGAAGCAGGCACCGCTGTACGCAGGGGCGGCTCGGTAACAGCGAAGGCTAAAGAGAGTTAAGTAAGCAAACCAGTTGCTCTGGGGAAAATGGAACGAGGATGGCGTTCAATTGAAAATTAAAGAAAAAGGCAAAGATGAATGTTTTAAGGGCGGCAGAAACGCAGCACTAAACGGAGAGGGAGTGGTGTAGTAATTAAGTAGATGAACCAAACCATGCCAAAGCCAAGACAGTTTGTTTCAATTGGCGAGCTCTTTTCTCACTGCTGTGTGAAAGGAACTGAGATTGGCCATGGCATGCGGGTGTAACAAACAGAAACGGCATCCTTAGCCTACAGTCATGGAAGTATGAGGCCACTTCGAAGGCTAAGCCCGATACGGCCGGCTTACTCTCACCGTGCACCTCTGAAGAACATGAGGGCGTTACAGCGCCACGGACGTGCAGTGGGTGCCCCTTGGGTGGGGGCTGGAGTGGCTGTACTTACCGGAGTCCTCCCACTGGAGCAAGTGAAGCTTCCACGCAGAGTAATAAAGAAACCCCAGTACCAGAAAGAGGCAGAGGGCTAGCAGCAGGTTTCGCACAAATACCAAGAGTCCCATCTTCACATGATTTGTGCCTTCCTACATGACCTAAGGGGAAGAAGAAATTAGGTCAAAAAGAGAAAGCAATCATCTTATTGACACATGCCATCTTCAAATAAATTACCTCTAGGCTTACTGGTCAGATAGAGACTGGTGGACACCCCCCCCCCCCCCCCCAGGATGTACCCTTCGGATCTGAAGCTGAACTCATCTCCTCACTGGAATACTCAACCATTTAAGATCAAAGGGCAGCATTTCCCCAAGGACAAGGTTCAGAGGGTTAGGGGAGAAGGAATGGAAACAGGAAATCCAAGGAGAAGGTGGCTCCAGCAGTGTGACACTGGAGGGACGGCAATGGAGGCCTTGAATCACACGTCCATACGGACTGTGGAGCATAAAGCCATGTTCCGCTTGCACGCCGCGTCTTGATCTGCATACAAATCCCACATGAGCACAAGTACTTGTTCTGGAATTCCCATTCTTCCCAAGGCTATCCACAGTTTGTTATGAGCTGAATGCTTTCACCGTCACAGAAACACAAGCACACCTCTTTCTGGTATTCTCTGCTTTCAGCCAAGATCCCTGTGACATCCTTGTTCCTTGTTGGACATCCCTTGTTCCACGCCCTCTTCTGAATCCCGCCAGAACCTCTGGCCGCTCCCTGTCAATGCACTGCTGCAACTGCTGTTGGCTGATCTTCAGCAAATGTTACTTGCATGAGATATCCGTGAAACTGATCTATAATTTGTGCATTCTGTGGGGTCACCTTTCTTTGGGATGGGAACAAATACGGATGTCTCCTAGTCAGTTTGCCAAAACAAGGGCATGCTGCATGGTTTCAAAGTGTTAGTTAGGGCTGTATCCCCTCCCCATCCTTATTCAATCCGAATGCTGAGCAAATCATCAGAGAAGCTGGACTACACGAGGAAGATGTGGCATCAGCATTGGAGGAAGGCTTAATGACAACCTCCATACGCAGATGACACACCTTGCTTACTGAGAGTAAAGAGGACTTGAAGCGTTTGCCAATGAAAAGCAAGAACTGCAGCCTTCGGTTTGGGTTACAAAGCAAAACCCTCCCAAATGGACCAAGATCGAAGTCACCAGGGATCTCGCCCTGCTTGGCTCCACAATCAGTGATCACGGAAGCAGCAGTCAGGGATCAAAAGGCGCAGTGGGTAAATCTGCTGCACGGGACCTCATGAAAGTGTTGGGGGGTGGGGGGAGAGTGACTTTGAGAACTAGGGTGCACCTGGCACAAACCATGCTATTTTCAATGCCTCATATACCTGGGAAGGCTGGACACTGAATCAAGAAGGCCCGAGAAGAATGGATGCATTTGAATCACGGTGCTGGTGAAGAATCTTGAAAGTTCCATGGCTGCCAAAGGGACGAACAAATCTGGCTTGGAAGAAGTACAACCAGAATACTCTAACTTAGAGGTGAGGGCGGCGAGACTTCCTCTCACTGCTCTGGACATCCCTGGAGGAAGCCATCATGCTTGGCCAAGTAGAGAGGAAGCCCCTCAACGAGATGGATTGACCCGGAGGCTGCAGCAGATATAACCATCATGGTGAGAACGGGGCAGGGCTTCCTTCTGCTGTACACACGGTCCATGTGGTCAGAACGGACTCCGTGGTACCTGACACGTAACCGCAACCTTTTCCACGTTCTCATTTGGTGAGTAGGGGTTTTTAAGGCTTGCAATCAGCCAGCTAAGAGACCTTCATTATCTCTGCCCAGTTCCTTCTGACACTGAACATAGCCTATTCACAGCATTGAAGAGGGGCTGTCTTCGGGGAACCATTCTGCCAACCACATCCTTCATTAAATCCTCAATTCCTTTAGAATAAAGTAATTGCTCCTTAAAGCCTCTTCTGGGCAAGTCCCCATTTACTCTCCAGACCCATCTCTCCCACCCCCCGACCTCACGAGTGTCCTACACACCAGCCATTCTTCCACTCTATTAAAGGCACAGTCATTCCACTAGAGGCACAGCATCATGTGCTCGGCAAATGTAACATTGCCAAGACTGCCCGGAGTCCCATGCCTCAGCCCCACTCAGAGAGCCTCCCACACAACACCAGAAACAATGTCTAACTCTTCTGAATGAAGATTTAAAAAGCACCCTTTGTAGATTACACAGTTATCTAGCTTGAAAAACCAAGAGAATCCAGTGAAAAAAACATGACAGCTCAGAGGAAGTTCAACAAAGCAGGTGTTGAGAAGACTTATTTCCACAAATCAGTAGCTTCTGAAAAACTTTACCAGCAATCAACTGCTGCTGGAAGATGTAAAGGGGGGAAAAATCCATTTGCGAAACTCCCTAAAGATAAACTTTAAGAGAAGTGGGCAGGACTTTCACTAAATGACGGGAAAGCCCCAAATAAAGAGATAAATAAACATGTTCTTAAATGGAAAGGACAAACTCAGTATAATTCCAATCAAGGTCTGTAACATGTTTTTCAGACTTAAATCTAAAGGTAATCTGAAGAGCTTGTGGCCCAACAAAACTAAGAAACTTTTAAAAATGAAAATAATGATTTACCTTACCAGCTATGAAAACTTACAAAAAAATAAAACTGTACAAATTAGCGCTTTTTCTCTGCATACGCACAGAGATGAATGTAACTTCCTTATAGATACACGTATTGATTTACTGTACAGTAAACATGTACATACGGAGGAAAGAAGGGGGAGAGGGAGGGGAAGGGAAAGGAAGGGGAGAAACACGCTGGAAAGACATACAACCCAGAAGCCCTTGACCCCCGTGACCCTGTCAGACGGGGACCTGCCCCACGGGACCCCAGGCTGTGATCTGGGCGTGCAGGGTGCAGGTCTTTTCCCCTGCAGACCAGCCGGTGGGCTAAAAAAGCCAAGCACAGAACCACCATGCCACGGCGGCTCTGCTTATATGCTTCTGAATGAGGCGCATTCGTCATAAATCACAGACACTGCTCCTGCAAGTGTTTTTAAGATTAAATAAAGGAAACTAGTAATACTTCCTAGGAACATAAAACGGGATATGCTTTCAGAAACCATTTGGAACTATCAACTGCAATTTACAACATTCCAATACCCTGTCCCAGCATGTCTATTTCAACGGCTGTTTCCTTGAGAAACACTCAAACCAATATGGTAACGAGCAAAACGAGCGACCAGTGGCAACGATGATTGTAAGAACAAGTATTAGAAACAATTCAAACAACAAAAATCAATCCTGGTGCCTCTACACAGTGGAATGTCTATCTGAGGCCACCTTGGCAGGAAGCAGACGCCACACCCAGAGTGCACAGAGGAGAGTGCAATGTCAGGGATTTTATTCATTTACCGTATATACTCGAGTATAAGCTGACCCGAATACCTATCTACTTCTTTCTTTTCATGGCTGAGGGAGCAGAGCTCAAGGACCCACCATGGGTGCAGCAGGAGGAAGCGATCAGCCCCTTTGGCATCAAAGGTGCTACTGCAACGTAAGGAGCAAGAGGAGGAGCTGAGAAAGACCCCACCAACAGAGGGCCGGCTGCTGCCAGAACTGTAAACACACACACACACACACACA